ACGTCGATAAAGTAGAAGTGCTGCTACGTGTCTACCAAAGCCTGCATCGGAAGGATAGTGGGTCAGCCTTGCCATCACTACCGCACTGCTCAACTCGCTACACAATGCGGGAAATTATTCTCAATGTGTCAGAGGTCTTCACAGTGCTGGCCAATTTGAACCCTTATAAATCAGCCGGTCCTGATAGCGTACATCCCGCCATAGTTAAGCCTCTGGCTGATATCCTCCAGTATCCCGTAGTGGAGTTATTCAACCAGTCTCTTCAAGAAGGCAAGCTGCCACGTGATTGGAAGGAGGCGACTATTGTTGCCATCCACAAGGGGGTTCTAAGTCGGTGCCTCTTAACTATAGACCTGTTAGTTTGACCAGCATCATGCTGAAATGCTTGGAAAAGCTTATAAAGAACAGGATCTGTGAGCACTTGACTGAGGACAATCTAATTAGAGCGGAACAGCATGGCTTTCTCAAAAAGAAGTCTTGTCTTACCAATTTATTGTGCTTTTTAGACGAGATTACCCGTTGTCTTGATGGTGGGATATCGGTAGAGGTGTGCTATTTAGACTTCAGTAAAGCCTTTGACTCCGTGAATCATCGATTTTTAATTGAGAAGCTGACATGGTTTGGATTGCATCCTCAAATACTACTATGGCTCTCTGAATTCTTACGTGGAAGGACATTCAGAGTCAGCGTTGGGGAAGCGAGTTCTAGTGTTGGTCATGCCTACAGCGGTGTCCCTCAAGGTTCGGTTCTGGGTCCATTGCTTTTTCTTATGTTTATAAATGACCTGACTCCTCTTCTTGAGGACCCCTGCTACATCTTCGCAGATGACTTGAAGCTAGTCAGTAGGGGAAACCGTGCGACATTGGCTAAGGACATCCTCACTGTGGTGAATTGGTCAAGTCAATGGGACCTACCTCTAAATGCCAACAAATGTCAACTATTGACTAGTAGTGGTAGCGGAATTGCAGTTCAGTCCCCTGTGGGATTTCTATCATTGCGGTGAACTGACGAAGCCCGTGATCTAGGTGTCATCGTAGCGAACTATTTTAAGCCTTCGGCACAGTGTCGCCATGCTTCCAATAAAGCACGACACGAATTATTTCGTCTTAGGAGGGCGCTGAGTAACACTAAAGCTGAAGTATTCTTGCCCTTATATAAAGCAGTGGTCAGGCCACATCTGGAGTATTGTGTTCAGGCCTGGTCACCGTACCTCCGTAGTGACATCACTTGTATACAAAAGATTCAGAAACTTGCGACCAGGATGATTGAAGGTCAACGAGGGAAGTCTTATGAAGATCGTCTAAGTAGCTTTACTTTACTTTACTGTCATGATAGCGAGAAAGATGTTGAACATCTATGTAGCTATATCTCAATGTAGGACATGTCCCACTGACACAGTGTTACCTGTAGTAGTGAGCTAGCCCAGGTGAAAGAAGTAAAATATTTACGAGCATAGAAAAAATCTCCATGTACTTACGATATATTCTTGGATGAACCACATGGAGTCCTTCACCAGCTCCGTCGCCTATTACGGATGGGCATCGTTTCGGAAGCTGCAGTTGGTGAATTACGGGCTCCATGGGTTATAATCATTGAACGATTCCTTCGTCAGTTTCCTGTGAAGGCTTCGTCGAATCTGGCATCCGCAAAGTGCGCGTCCAGTAATCGTTTGAATTCCGACACCGAGTTCGCTTCTATTATCCGCGAGGGCAAACGGTTCCACATGTTCACCACTCGCCGCTCAAGACACTAGGGATGAGCTACCCACTTGAGGTCAGGGACTACCAGTTTGTACTGGTGACCTCGTGTGCTGCTTGACGCACGGACATGGAGCAGTGGCCTCAGCATCGGATAAGCACCCAGATGCAATACCCGACGGGTCATGATGAGGTCCACTCGCACGCGGCGGTAGGCTAGAGTATACAGACCCAATTGTCTGCATCTTTCTTCATACGGCACACCCTGAAGACCGGGAATGAGCCGTGTGGCTATGTGTTGTACTCTTTCGAGCTTGTGTATCTCGCCTTTCGTCAACGGACAGTAGGCGGGTGAGCCGTATTCTAGCACCGGTCGTACAATGGATGTGAAGAGGCGAGTGGCAATCTCTTTCGACCAGGTGCAGAAGCTACGTTTCAGCGCCCACAGCGAACGCAATGCTGTGCGATACGTATTGTCCGTGTTGTCCAGTGACTTCATGTCGTAACGTTGTATAACGCCAAGGTCTCTGACGCAATGCGTCGGGTGTAGAACTTGGCCGTCGAGAGTGTACGATCGGCCCGCTCCACCTTTACCGAGGCACAGAAGTAGCGATTTTGCCGAGTTGATAGGCAAACTTACTTCGGCGGACCACATGGAGAGGCGGTCGAGGTCCTGCTGAAGTATGTCAAAGTCGTCCGACGTATGGATCACCCTCCATAGCTTCAGGTCATCCGCGAACAAGGCACACGGCGACCGAAGGAGATTGGGCACGTCGTTGATGTGAATCAGGAAGTGAATGGGGCCAAGCACCGTCCCCTGAGGAACGCCGCTCGTCGACGGGTACCAGTCGGTCAGGTGGCTGTCGACTTGCACCCTCCACTTCCGTCCAACTAAGAAGTCACGGATCCATTGGTGCAGCGAGCCTCCGACTCCGCACTCCCTCAGTTTCTGAAGGAGGATCTCGTGATTCACTCTGTCGAAGGCCTTACTGAAATCGACGTATACCACGTCGACTGACTTACGTTGGTTTACTGCTTACAACCATTCATGTCATGTTAGCAGCAGGTTAGCGATGCACGAGCGGCCTCTCACGAAACCATGCTGTGCAGGCGTCAGGAGAGAGTTGGTCTCCAGTAGCTGGAGCAGTCTCTTCTTCACAATATTCTCCAGAACTTTCGACAATACTGCGGTCAAACAAATAGGGCGGTAATTCTCCACTTTGCGTGTGTCACCGCCTTTTGGAATCGGTTTGACAAAGGCGCATTTCCAGTCACAAGGCACGCAGCCTATGGACAGGGATCGGTTGAACAGGTCGGTTACAGCAGGTGAGATCACAGCTGACAAGGACTTGAGGATCAGCGGATGGAGACCATCCGGTCCAGCTGGCTTCGTGCTGTCTAGGCAGCTGACTAGCCCATGTACCTCCGCGACGTCGCAGATCAAGTCGGTTAGCTCAGTCGGTGCGGCGACGGCAGAGCTTGGCGCGCAGGTTTGGTTAGTTGCGAATACAGAAGCGAAGTGCGCCGCTAATGCGGACGCACGCTCGGTGCTTGAACTTAGTGGTTGTCCGTTCGAACCCACTAGCACCGGCACATTACCTGCAGACTTCAGGCGTCGCTTCACGTGCGCAAATATGCGCTTCGGGACAGTTTTAGCTGAGCAAGCAAGCTGCTCCTCAAACTGACGGCGTTTTCGCGTCTTTGTGCTGTTGCACAAGTTTCGTTGTCGCTTGTATGCCTCATAGTCATCGGCAGAGCCAGACAGGAGGAACGCATTCCATAGTCGACGCCGTTGTCGAGACAGTCGGTTATACTCTTTGTCAAACCAATGGGGTTTCATTGGTCCAACTTTCCGAGTCTTGAGGGGTATAAATTGCGCACACAATGAGTGCACTGCCCCTTTAATGTTTGCCCAGCAAGTTTCAACGGATGAATCCTGTGGCATAGACCAATCAAGCTGATTGGCAGCTAGAATGAGGCCATCGAAGTCAGCTTTCCAATAGTTGTATGTTGGTGCCACTGGACGCACACATGGAAGCTGCAGGTCTATAGTGGCCATAATTGTCGAGTGATCACTGGCCGCCATGGGCTCAAGAACTTCTATGTCATGCACTGTTTGTTCGCAGCTGGTTGAGAGGGGATTTGATAGAGACGTTTAAGATCATTAAGGGACTTAGTGGTATTAGTTCCACCCATCTGTTTGAGCTGGCTACGTCAGACCATCTGCGCGGGCATCGCCTGAGGCTTAAACATCACAGAGCTCGTTTGGACATCAGGGCAAAGTTTTTTACGAACCGGGTAGTTAACTACTGGAATAAACTTCCTTCTGATTTAGTGGAGTCTGAGACCGTAGAAGCCTTCAAAAGGGGCTTAGACAATTGTTGGTCCATCCTTTTTCCAGAGATATTGTAGTTGTACTTTAATATGTAGTGTATTTTGATGCTGGCATATGAAAGTGCAGAGATTGCTCTTGTTCTTGCTTCATTCCATTGCAGAAGCAAGAAGAGACAATCCAACGTCGAAGTGCCGGGGGTCGCTTCACTTACCGGCACAGGAACTGGACGCTCGTTAGGTGGAAGCCTCTATCGTCCATCTGACCTGACCTGACCTTTTTTCGGTCTAAAGCGCGGCTGGGACCATCTGTATAGGATGCACCAGTGGTTGTAGACGCTATCAGGCAAGGCGCAGTAGAAAAGCAAGTTGTAGTCCTGCATTCAGTTTGTTACATGTAGCTGTTAAGTAACATTTCATTTCGATTAGTCCAACGCAATCCATTCCTGATTCCATTTTTTGTATTATGTTTGGGTTCCGCCTCACTTCCCAAACGCTGTTATTTTGATGGTTTAAGGTAAGATAGCAGCAGTACGCCAGTACGCAGCCCCGATGCTTCGCTGCCGCACAACCACCAATCGCGCGTGGGCTAAGGATACTACGAGGGTCGCCAGGTCCCCTACGAAGGCACAGATCCGCGCTCTCAGATTACAAGGCAGGCTTGTGATCCTTTAGGCGAAGGGTCGGTGAATGGTGGAAATTAGACCTTCTGCACTTCGGTGCCCCGATCGAAACTATTCAATTATACTGAACTTCCACGTCAATGAGGATGAACCGTTATGGTTCGTAAGAATGCTGAACGGTAAAGAAAAGAAGGCAACGAGATGTCGGTCTGAAGACAAAAACGTTGCTAAAGGACAAAAAATTATAAGACATGATTATGGAGGGAATTAAATGAGTGATATCGTTTGATGCTCTCGTTTCACGGGCATTAACGTTGACGTAGTAGGTACATAGTATACTTCGACTTACCTTCGTCTCTCTTCTCGGTCGATGTCACGGAAATTAGCTTCCATTGAGCGAAGGTCGTCCCATGGATTGACATCTTTATATTTACGAGGGTCGAATCTGAGAGCCTTGTGTACATCACGGACAACTCGAGCGTAATCCCTGGATTCCATAGCTTCACTATCATCTATGAAGCTGTCATCGCTCTCGTAGTCATCGAAGGCAGCGAAATCCACGCCCTCTGTTTCTTTCCCGATGTCAAAATTGACTCTGAGTTGAGCAGCAATACCCCTGGCACTGATGGGCTGAGCCTGCATTGATGAGCCCTTCGTTTGCCAGTAACCGTTGGTTTCGGTCTTTTTGGGATTATTCCTGTGTTGCATTCCAGGGCCCAACTTAGAACCATGTGAGTTGAGAGAGAAAGGTTTTTTAGTAGCCAAACACTCCTGTGTTCCCTGAGACTGTGTCATAGGATGCTTTTGTGCACGGACATCGCTCTTGGGAAGACTGTCACTGCAACAATCTCTGATTTTCTCCTTATTAACAGATGCAGTGGAAAGTGCAATAGAGCGAACCCGAGGTGATTTACTTGGGACATGCACTTGGCGGGAGCAGAGCTGCTCAGCGATCGCGCTCCTAGAATGGTGAGGAAGCTTCTCCTTTTCTTTCTTGGTGTCTGGGTAAATGACATTAGTTGAATTGGGACTAGCAGGGTGTGAACAAACCGACGATCTAGACTCCTTCTTCAAGAGCTTTTGTCCGGATGCTGACGCCGGTGGTTGACTCGAGCCGAGGGAGGCGACCTGGTTAATGGGCATCGTTGCAGCTGACGCGCCGGTGTTCAGAGAGTTATCACTTGTACGCTGGTGGGAGGCAGAGACCTGTTTCTTTTTGGGTGGTGCCGCCGAATCAAGTGAACGATATGATGACGCCCGAGGACAGGGTAATAGATCCTCGTACGGCACTCTTCTGCCAGCGTCAGGCGGAACGTTCTTCTTAGCTAACTCAAGTAGTGCAGTAAAAGACAAATTACAGCGACCTTTAGATTTAGAACTCAAGGAAGCATCGCCCGGACTATTGGTGCTATTCGCGTCTTTTGGAGGAGTATCCGTGGTTGGAGGGACACGGGTAGCAGGAGGAGGAATATCACGTCGAGGTGCGCTAGGATGATTTTTAACCCCAACGGAGCATTGAAAGGACGACTGAGCAGGAAGTGAGGCTGGTGTGACGCTAGGTGCACTTCCCTTGATCTCGGAACATGGCTTAGAAGATGCTCTAGCTTTTTCGATTTCCTTCAACCGTGCTATATTTTTTATACGTTCTTCTAAAACCATCCGTTTAACCTATACCGTGAACATGCACAAAGGAGCCTTACTTCTTTATCGCGCTTCTCTTGTTTTTCACGGGCAATTGCAAGAATCCCCAGGAACTCCATCACTGTTGCTGCGAACCCGGGGCGACCTTCTAACGATAAGGCTGCCCAGTAGTAGCAGACGTAGCAGGGTACTTTACAGATAGCGACGTCTGCTGATTGGTTGGAAGGGAGTGAGGAGAGTGACCTCGAGACTCTGTCATACTAGTCTGGTGTACCCGTAAAACTGCTGTAATAACCTGCAGATTGCTCTGATTGATGTGTAAATCAATCCTAAT